AGCTCTGCGTAAATATTTGATAGGATTTGAAGGACAGCTATTCATTTGTATTTGCATCGATAAAAATAGTATCAACATTTTCCATATGTTTGTTACATATACATATATGTTAATTTTTTCTTAAAATACGTTCAATTTCAATGTCATGATTCTTATACGAATTTCAATATCTAACACAAGAAGAGTTATTTTTTATTTTTCTGTTGCGTAAGATTTTCAGAGATCATCTGTACAAGTTTAAGGTCTAGGTTATTATTGTTGTAATTTTTTTCTCCAGATATTTCTCCAATCCAATTTATCGAAGGTAATCTCGTTCCGATCAAATTACCATTCATACACCGTTGATTAGTTGTGTATCCCCGCTCGTATAATACATACACTAAACGATTAGAATAGCATAGCATATATAAACGTATAAACAATTTGCGTTTCAATTAATAACCGAGCGTAGTATTTATTTATTTTTTTATATAATAATGTAACAAATTGCTGTGTGAATTAACTAAAAACGATTATATTCTCTAGACATTGTGTAAGAATTAATTTATACTTTATTAAGTCTATTATAGCGAGATTTTCCAGGCTTAAATATAAAAAAATACACGAGTTTAATTAAAATTATATTGTACAGTTATAATAAAACATTTTAATAACACAATACAATATCAACGTATTTAAAAATTTGAAAGTGAAAATAATTAAAAGAATTAGGTGCATTAAAATAACTTTAAAATTCTATTAAGATGATTTTATTAAACTACCTATATAGTATTGTGTTATAATAAAATGCTACACACAGCTAATTACAAATAAAACGAAAATTTAAAAATGTTCACTACACAATTGAAATATTTAAAATTAGATATTTATCTTATTATATTAGATACCCAGAACCGTAAAATACAAGAATAAGTTATCATTTTTAGAAACATAACATTCACAAATATCGGTAATAAAGAAATTTTCAATATTCAGACTTTTATTTATGAATATGTTTATATTAAAATTATAATTGTTTAAAATATTTTCGTAACATAATACTAACTACTAATCAAAACATTTAAATTTTTATCAAATCTGAAATTCTATTTCAGTTGATATTTTGCTTATATTCGATTTATTTAAATTGTTTTACGTAATATTACATAATATTAAAATGTACTGAACATCCGTAAAAAATGCAAGCTTTATTTCTCCCCCTCTGAAGTGATACATACATTTTGCAATATAAGAGTAAAACTATATTTTACAACGTTTTACCAGAATTCGTTTTTCTACTATAAAACGATATCTAGTGTGCATTTATAATATAATATTTTGTAATACTCCCTTTTCTAACATTAACAGTAATGAGCAGGGCTAGGATTTGTATGCAACAGCATATTTTTTTTTGCGACTTTTAATTATTGATTTTGTCAGTAATGCCCACGAATCACCTTATGATGAGATAAATGGTGGTATTTTTATCTTGCGTATTTTTGCATATATTGAATAAAATTAATATTATTGCATATTTTGATTATAAAAATGTGAAAAATGAATGTTTTATAGTATATTTTGTAATTAATATTTATAATTTAATATTAATATTTCGTATTTAATTACAGCCCTGCTGATTAAAAAGTATAAAACTTGATTTTTTTTATCAAACATAAAGTTTATTTTAAATTTTTTTTTATTTTATATCTCAATTACATTATATATAATATAAGACAAACAGCCAACCACTGATGTATTTCAATAAATAATTTACCTATTTTATTTTTTGTGTTTATCTTATAAAAATTCAAATGTATATTTTTGTATATTTTGGTAAATGAAATGCATATTTTACAATTTTTATTGTATACAAATCCTAGCCCTGGTAATGAGTAATACAGTTTAAATAGTAAGTGTTTTAGGTTTTGCTGATGTTACATTTTAGAATTTTAAAAATATGTAAAATAATTTAATAAAAGAATGTAAAATTAAAAATAAATACCATAATATAGATAATAAAACCACAACACACTTTTTAATTTTGAACTACACACTTAAAATTTCGACAAAATGTGTCATACTGCATACAATTTTAGGCCCCGAGTTTTTATTTAACCGGTAATTAAGCGGAAAAAAAAAATAAAGGAACGTCAACCGACTGAATAAATCGAAAGCCTCCAGGAAAAATCATGACTACACCATTGATCGACACAGAAATAATAATATTACGCGTCGCAACCGTCGTCAGATTATTTGCGCGCAATCCAATTCATCGGGAACGTATTTATTTCACTTTTTTTGCGCGCGCGACTTATCGTCATAGTGTGTAAACGTAAATTCGTTAGAAACCGGACCGAAAGGCCTTGGAAAGTGGAACGCTGCGAAAACATTATCTGGCACATGTGTGGAACATGAAATGTAATATTCGTCGGTTAGCAAAGGTGCGTCTGGACGCAAAGGCGTATATAAGGGGATGGTGAAGGGGGCATTCCACCTCCCCCCTTATGGTACGTATTTTTTTTTTTGAATGTAATACATTGATTTATTAATGAAATGTAATGTATAAATAATTAAGAATATAAATTACTAGTCTATCATTATAATATTTTATCATTATAACTGAAACATGAGCTATAGGTAAAGAACTGTAAATTATTTTTAAGTTTGTATTGAAAAAAAATTAGTTTCATCCCCCCCCCCCCCAACCCAATGACCACAACTCAAATGTGCCCTTGTCTGGACGGCACCTAACGGACGACACATTCGCCGCGTGAACGCTAAACGGAACGTAAACTTTCACGGTTCCGCGGAGGCGCCGGACAAGTCAACCCCAGTAGCGCGCGCTCGCCCGACTGCTAACTCTACGTCTTGTGCAACTCTTATTACGTTTCTGTGCGCGCGCGTGTCCGTTATCCGTTAAGCTCTCGGGTTTTTTTTACGATCGTGTTTGTCTCACAACACGGTGACTGTAGGGGTCACACCGCACCGGCCGTAAGTTGTCAATGGACGTTATTTTATTGTGATCGCGATTATGCAACACAACACGTCGGCAACTGGACGCACCGCGTCCTTGGAGGTCGTTTTATTATTATTATTATTTATTTATTATTATTTTTTTTTTTTTTTGTATACATTTATGTTTTAAAGATGTTTCACTTTCACCGCGGACGACCATCAACCGTGACCACCGAGCTTTGTCAAATTCTTCTCGAAAAGCCCATAATTAACAATGCGAATAACCGTGTAAACCGCAATTGTAAATATTTCATTCCTTCCCCCCCCATTTCCATTCTCATCTCCGCTCTGCCCGTTGCTGCGATAACTGCGCTGGGCGTGAGAACGGTATTACTGCACTATGTACGCGGAGCGTACTATATACCGGACGCAGCTGCGTTCTTGACACCGTAAGACGGCGTTTTGGGTATGCAATTTTACGGTAAGGTTAGCGGCGAACAACACGTAATATTCTACTCATATGAGACGATAACGTACGGTCGTTCTGCAAACATTACGCGGAATCATCGCCAGCGAAACACTGCACACGGGGCTGCCGCGTTAAATGCTGCTCGTGAAATCTTTTTGTGGAACGGTTTTCGACGGATTCTTCGCCGCACTGCGCGTAAACGAACTGCATTATTTACTATTGAAAACCTGTTCGATACGACACAACTTCAAATGTAATAACACCCGACACCTATGCGGCGTATACATTCTAAATCGAACCCAATTGCATTATCACGTGCATGTATAATTATAAAACTAGAAACCTTGAAATCCCGTGGTTATGACTTTGACAGTCGTAACAACCGGCGTTGACTGCCGAGTGGGTACCTGCGTGTGTTAACAAATATCTGTGTGTAATAACGATAAATACACGTCGGCTGGGCTCTTTGGTTTAAATTAATTGGAACGGACTGTTTATAAATAAACAACCTAAACGCACGTTAAATAGGTTATTTCCTCGGATTTTTGCGAAGGACATGCTGCACGGTTAGTGTTTTTTTTTTTAAATTCTTAAAATCGTAAACTATGGTCCAATTTATGGCTTCAAATGTTTATTTATTTATGAATGTCTGGCGGACAAAATTTAAGTAGAATTTTAACAATATCTTTAGATGTATTTCGAGGATTGTAGTACTACGTGTATACATCATGTATATACGTTTTTATGAATCGACATGGAACAAATATCGAATACGGATTTATGCGTTGCGTAAATACAACATACAAACGTTTAGAATAACAATTATTATTTATTAATGAACAATATAATACGGTTTTGTGCGTTGTGCGTACTGAAAATGGCAATTTAAAATTCTAGGCACTGCAATGATGTACTGTAATATAATATTGGCTAAAAACATGTAGGTACATAACCTCTGAGATTTCACTTTATTGCTTAACGGTATTTATTAGTCTTGTATGATATCTTTTATGATGTTATTTAATATATTTTTGCCTAACTTAAACTTTTACTGTACGTATGTATGCATTTAATTTATTATAATTTTGAATAATCGGCAAGAGTTTGAGGTTAATATTTATAATAAATAAATATATCGAAGTAAAAGCAAAATAAAATATAATACTAAAAATTGACTTACCCTTATAGATTTCACCATTGGATACTAGCGGCTTCTATAAACGCGCAACTGGAACCGACGGTACACTAATAGTAATAAAAATGTTGGGTGCTTCTATGCTTTCATCAAGGTTGTGTTGCCCTACCTCTCTCATCCCTATACCAAGATCATACAGTTACGTAAAGATATATCATTAAACAATAATTGACCTTGGATATAGATTAAAATATCTAGTTCGCTGTGATAACCAATTAAATTGTATTTAAACACATCTTCTGATCGCCCTTACAGAAACATAGTTAGTATACATTAAGGATGTTATATTATACATAAAATCATTATTTAAAAAAATATATAAAATGTAATTACATAAATAATTTTACAACGTTGGAATAAATTAAAATTTGTGTACAACAAATCTGATTGTTTCACATTGATTAAAAAAATAATAACCCAATATATTAACTACATAGACATAATTATGAATACATATTTTTAAAAACATCTATAGCTAATCGTTATTTACATTTGATTTTCTAATTAGAAGACACTGGCAATTCAATCCATTTGTTCAGGTTTACTGATGGAATTATTCCACTACGACATGGTACTCGAGGATTACTGTAAAATAAGAGTATATTAAAAAAATTCCTTTAAAGTGTAATGCACACATAATAATATTTTAATTAAATATAATTTCAAATATAACATAAATAAACTAATTATGTTAAATATTATTATCTTATTTGTACTTTTATAAATACGAGTTTTTAATATAAGCAATAATTATCTAGTTGTGCAATTTACTGAACTAACTTTTCTTAACATTCCGATAATTTAGCTAGGTACCACTTCGCTTTCACTATAATTATACTATATTGGTGAAAATTAATATGTTTCTATTTATTTACTTGTGATAATTTAAATTAAGAATTTTCTATTATTGTATTAGTTAAAAAATAAAATAAATTTTTACTGTTGTCTCTTAATTAAAAATCCCTATATATGTTACTATATTCATAACATATTTACATATACAGCTTATATATTCCCAGATATGGCAGCTACAAATCAATAATATATATATATATATTATTAATACCAAAAAAGTGACGAAAGTTACTTAATAAATCTATATTTGTGTATATAATTAATATTTGAAACTTTAAATAATATCGATTGGACATTTTTAAAATTATATCGTTGAACAATTAATAAATTTAAAATTTACCTTTAAAAATTATTACCTAATTTATTATAAGTAAATTACTACTATTAATAAATAAAAGTCTATATATGAATTTCTTACATTTCATGATCAGGTAGAACGATTGGCCACAATTGAATGGTGTCCATCAAATCAGTATTGTCACATAACACTCGAGCTAATCTAGCTTTTCGAATTTCTTTAAGTTGTTCTGAATATAAAAATATTTAATTTCATTAGCATGATATCTATGGTTGTTTATTTGTTCTTCTATCCAACATTGAATATTTTTCTAAAATACCTGGAGTAAACGAAGATGGTTGATTGGGCAGTTCGTACCAAAAACGATCACCTCTTCTGGCATAACTGAATTGAGTAGCTAATATACACGAAAATACTGGACCAGCCATGCTACCGGGTAATGGTTTTTCGGACACGCCTCCGGACCATAAATCTACGTCATCTGGAGAACTGTAAGATGAAATAAATTAATATATTTTTAGAGTAAGTATCAATACGTTTAGATAATTTTTAAAGAAATTATATTCACTTGTATATAGTAGTATATCGGTTTACCGTAGAATTTGGCATCTCTAATGATAAGCTTTGGAATGAATCAGAAACTGGAAGGCCACAAAATTTTCTAAAAAAAAAGTTATTGATATATAATTGTAATTTAAATAAGGTCAAAAAAAAAAAAATTATATTGAGGTTTTTCTGTTATTAATTTATTGCCTCCTAGGGTAGGTCATTATAACGGATGTGCAAATCATATTATTATGCATTAGAAATCAGTTGATGTATAAAATATTTGATAATTCATATTACATTCTCACAATAAAGTATAGCTAAATATCAAAATATAATATTATGATTATTATTGTATTATTAGTTATATATAATAATATTAATAATATTAATTATATTAGTAATATTTAGTAATACTGTTAGTATTATAGTATATTATAAATACTCTTACTAGGAATCAATATCTTACACTTCTCAAAAAAAAAAATTGTTTGAATTGTTCTATAAAAACAGAATTAAATTAATTATTCTTATAAAAAAATAATTTTTTTTAATGCTTACCTTGGTATATTGATTGTTTTTGTTTTTTTATAAGATTAATAAAATATACTACACATGACTTTCATATTACTCATACATCATAACACATAAAACATAATCTATTAGGTATCTAGTAAAATTGGTCAAGATATGAATATTCTGATAAATATTTATTGTGTAAGATGAAAAGTAAAATATAATTTTTCAAATTATAAAGAAAATTCAGAAGTTAGAGTAAAATGTCTATAATAGATAACGCCTTCCCCTCCCGAAAAGCTAAGAAAAAATTCCCATGAAAACTATAAATATTTATTAAAATTTCTATTATATAAAACAAATAATAAGAAACTAAATTGATAAAAATCTGTACTTTTATTTTGAAATAACTAAAGAATTGTATTAACTGTAAAATAAAATTTTTATTTTGTGTGTAATTGATTCTATAATGTGGGCGTGAAGTTTTCAATTGTTGCTTTTATATAACATTAGTAGTCATTCAAAGCGATACTACAACTATCTAATACAACATTTTTTAATCGTTACGAATTTAACTTTATATAATTTTCACTTCGACACACGATACCTCTATTAAATAGAAACAATATTCTTTTTATCAAAAGGTAATAATACGATTTTACATATATTGTAAGTAAAAAAAAAAAAAAATTCACCATAGCGTTAAAGTTCGTGAGTGAACTATAATAAAAAAACATTTATCATGCATATATGTACATCAATTTAATCAATTTTCAGTTTATTTATAAACCAAAATAGTACATAGTACGTATGTACTAATATTACTATAGAATTATAACTTATAATTATAGCAGCGCCTATACATAATCTCGTTTCACTTACCTGTATTCCATAAATCCCGGTAATCCAAATTCTCTACCTCGTTGAATATTAAATGCCACTAAATCCACTCCAAACCTTTGCCCCGGTTTCTTAAACAATGTATTAGTCACCTCTTGTGTGACTGAATCGTCCATTGCTTGAGCAACTTGATTAGTCAATCCCATTATGTACTCGTCTAAGACTCCTGCTCTATACAAATCATATGGGCGGCGAATGAGATCAGACAATTTTTTAGAAGCTACGGTCAAAAGTTCGAATAGTCATATATTAACGCTTGTATTTTATGTACAATATGTATGAATATGTATATAGGTTTTATAATTATTTACCAATAAATTTATGGGCCTTGCTCCATCTCTCCACTGAATTTGGCAAAAATGTGTGACCAATTCGAAGAGCAGCTGCTGAAAATTCAGCGAGAACGTTGGGGCTTACATTTATATCATAACCATCCCAATAACCCTAAATAAAATAAAATTATAATTTTAACATAAACCCATTGATAACATCCTCAGAATAATATCTGCACTTTATGAAAACAAATTAATTTTTAAAATATTTTTATTGAAAAACAATTTAACCAAATTTGTCTTACTAATTTTTAACAAATTTATTGTAATCAATATTAATTTCGGATTTTTTATCATGAGAAAGTATCGTAAATTTAAGATGAAAGATATGTGGTATGTGGAATGTGATATGCGATAGGAGTTAATAATAAATACATTTTTCTGGAAGGGTTTACATTTTCTTTGGAAGTTGAGAAGGCTAATACCCATATCACCCCCTAGAATAAACACTGATTGTAACTGTCCATAAGTTAATGACTAACAATCTACTTGTAAAAATGTATAGTAAGTACAATTGAAATTTTTCACGATAACTATCATTATAATTATTGTGATCAAAATATATGAGACATGTTAATGGTATATTTTTATTTATGTAGTTTTGAAAAGTTACCTTAAAATACTGTAAGTTCTGTAGAAAAACTATAGTATTTTAATAATTTAATCCAAAACGTGGTAAACTAAAGTAAGTTATTGGGGTAATATAAAATAAATGTGCAAAATTAGTCTAAGAGCATTTAATATATTCAGTGGCGTACATTCAATCTTGGTCTGGGGGGGAGGGGTTTAGCAAAAATAATCGTTATCTTTTTTTTTTTGTTGCACAGATAAATAAGTTAAATAACTGCTATAAATAGATATTATTTTATACAACTTTTTTACCAATTTACAGTTTACTTTTACATTACAGTAAGTTAATAGCTATTGAAATATAAAAACAGTATAATTAACAAAACTTTTCAAACACCCATCAATATAATTATTTAATTATCATAATATTTTTATAGTTGTATATTTTAAGTTCAAAGTGTAATAATGAAACTGAATATATTACACGTCATCAATAGTAAAACAATTTTCTTTTTTTTTTGGCCCTGGGGGGATTTGAACCCGGGAACCCCCCCCCCCCCCCCCCCCCGTATTTACGCCACTAAATATATTATTTTAAAGTTCACTAAAAAATTTTTTTAATCAATAAAATTAATATAATTTTATACGAAAATGAGTTTCGCCTATATTACAAAAATGTTAAAATAAGAAGTGACGTAAATTGTATCATCCACAAAACTAAACTATAATTTTTCACTTAATGTTTAAATTATAGCAAAAATTTTACATTTTCATTAATATGGTAAAGTATATATTTTACTTCTTTTTGCAATAGTAGTCCAAATTTTTCCATTACTCCTTTTCCAAGCAATGTAGGCAAAAACTCATTATAAGTAATGTGTTGAATTTCTGCAATAACGATCCGTCTAGCTTCTTGGAAAATTATTTCATCATTCCAATGAGGATTCATTTTACTCAATTCACGAGCTATTCGGTTATGCTCCCTAGCCCATATTGTATGCATAGTAGTCAACACAAGTTGTTCATTTACACGTACTTCCCCTAATAAAACAACACAAATTAAATAATTTACTATATTATAACACATATACCTGTATATAAATATACCTGCATCAAAACAATACTGTGAAGGATTTAATCTTGTACATCCTTCGTCTGGATCTTGAATTTTTAAAGGCAACAAATCCTTAAGTCCGAGATTTTTAAATGCCGGGTTCATACGAAGTAAACCTCCAAAACCAGTTCTTAGATGTCTAATAAAAATATCAAATTTAAATATTAAATGATGATGTAATATTTTTGTGTTTATTTTAAGTAACTTTAACTTTTTATGAATTTATTTAATAAACAATTATACTTTATTACAAATAATATTTTAAGCATAACACACTATTAAAATTTCTTTACAAGCATATTATTATCCATTTATTTTACATGTTTTATGGGACATTTTTAAAATATTATTTTAAGGGTGACGATAAATTAAATTGTATGATATATTTTAAATTTGATAAACAAAAGCAATATTTAAAAAACCATTCTATTAAATATTATATTAAAATGTTTTTTAGTTAAACATTAGAATTAAACTTTCAGATAAGTAAATATGAATAAGTAAATAAAAAAAATAATATAATAATATACCTATTATATTCTTCAGTTACACTGTACACTGTATTTGCATCCAGTACACTAGTCAGCGTATTGAATCCTATTCTTGAACCTGCAATTTTATTCAAAGAATATAAGTACTTAAAATTGCTTACCAACTTAACTTATATAAATTATATTTTGATTATTAAATAAAATTAAAAAAATAAATATATTATTGATTGTTAAAAAAAACATGAGGCATACATTTATTCTTTAAATAATTAATAATACTAATTTAATAATTATTAATTTATATTTATCATGATTATAAAAGGATCAATATTAAAAAATATATAAACTAATTTAGTTTTAATAATAAATCACAACGTGTAAAGTAAAAAATAAAATTATAGTTACTTAACTAATTTTTTATATAGGTAGCTATTTATTTAGGTTGTGTTTATATGCAGGTACGGTACCTACGCATAAATCGTTATATGCAGGTACGGTACCTACGTATAAAACGTTATATGCAGGTACTGCGTCAAAATCATTCAGACATGAAAATCATTAAATTTTTTTAAGGTATATTACGTCATATTATTTATTACAATATTACATATTTTATTACATGAATAAAATGCGTCAAATAGAATATATATATATCAAACAATTTGATATGCTGTCACTTATTATAAGTTATTACCTGTATTATAAGGTATTACCTTCATCACTTTTTTTGTTTTTTTGAGGGTGGCTCACTGCTATGTTTTTTTTTAGTGGCTCTATCAACACTTGTTTTATTGAAGGAGCAAAGTTGTTTTAATGCGCGTTTGGGTCTACCTCTAACTTTCAATTTATCCTTAAACTTCAGTAGTAATCGTCCAGATAGATCAGCAGGCTTGCTTTCGTCTTCAAGTGTGGTTGATGTTCCTTCGCTATTGTCCTCTTCGTTCAATGTTTGTTGTACTGGAGGCTCGAATTCGATTGCGAGTGTTGACTTTGGTTTAGTTTCTATAGATGCACAAGCGCTCGCTGCAAGTAATGAACAATTTTCAATTTCAGAACCAGATCGTATGATACGTTCAATTTCTTTCATACCCTTAAGATAAGCTTGAAATTGGTCTGTTCCATAGCAAGCAGATAGGCTAGCGATGCTGAGGGCGATAGGCAACATCATATTGTATTTTTGACGGTTACTCAATACCGGAACTTTTTCCTTATCTAGACGTACTCTATTTTCTATCTCATCTAGTTGTACTTGATCTTCTATTTCATCTAAATTACGCGTAGCTGTATAATTAAGCTCTACATTTCTTCGTTGATGATAACGACTATGAAACAGAGACAATTCGAAAACGGCTGAGAGTGACACACATTGTTGTTCTCTTATTAGTAGTATATGGCGGCATGGAGACTGATTGTTAGCATAGAACGTACAGGTACATTCAGTATTCGAACATTTATAAACGACTTCATCCTCTTCATATCGTTCTCGTACACCTCCACATTCCAACTTCATAAACTCTTTCCGGTCTTATAAAGCTTTCAAGCTTTTATGAAAAAGTACACAACCACGGTCATTCAAGGCAAGTGATGCTTCAGCATTCAATTTACAGATGTTAGTGTCTTTGTCATGTATTTTCAGCGATCTGAGATTTGCCGTAGAAGTGGATTCAGTAAGTCTTTCTGAGCAGAACGATACAAGATGAACGATACTTTGAGAAATTTCAGGAAGCGAAGAGAACCTTGAATGAAGACTTTGTTTTAATGTCCAAAAAGATCTTTCAATTCTGTTATTTGTGTTGTCTCCTAACGTCGGAAGGTTATTTCTAAAACATTTAACCCACATGTTTTTGCAACTGTCCCAATTGTTGTTGAATTGGTCTTTTAGTGAAACGTACTTCATGTTGACTCGAACCTGAATATCATTAACTGAAGCGAGAAAAATATTTTTATTTTCATCGTAGAGCTTTTCACTCTGAGCATACAACATATTTTTGAATTTACTCATAATGTCATTTTTAAATTCAACCACTACGGGTGCTGTTGCTACAAGATTTTTAACATATTTTATTACATGAAATGTGCATAGTAAAATGGTTGCTTTTTCAAACACTTCCTTCAAATAGAAATTTCATTAAAATCTTTGTCAACTATGAAAATATTCGTATCTTGAGTGCATATCGTTTTAAAAACTGAAAAAGCTATGCGGAGATTACTGCTGGTCTCTTCAAATAGAAACGCCAGCATACACATCTCACTTTTATTGGTAGTAGGATTGAGATAACAAAAGCCACACAATTTATATTTGGACATGTCAAAATCAAACGATGTGTCAATTTGAACGACAGTTGAGCATGAAGCTTCAAAAGATTTTTTCATAATATTTGAACTAATACAAAGCACAGAAACGTTTCCATCATCATCTAATTTACTGACTACGTCACCTCCCGCTTCCTCAATTCCTTCCAGAAACATCTGCAGTTCCGATTCATCGGACGATTTGGGAACTAACTTTTGAAGCAAATTTCGAATTTTTTGCGATGAAAGTTTTTTGTCAAATTTACTTTGAAATACACGACTGATCTGACTGACTTTACAGTTTGCGTCGTGAAGATCTGTCAACACGTCTTTCTGTTCACCAGTGAGTTTCATTCTAGTCGTTCCAAACGCAGACCTACTTATTTCGTGATTATGTTCTTAACTAACACTCGTTATCTTGACCCGAGTAGAGTTAGCAGGCTTGAAACAGGTAATTTTAGCTTTGCACCTAATGTAATTGTAGTGTAGTTTAGTTCGTTTACCTGTACTATTTGAAGGCCGGTTGTAACCATGTCGGCAAAGAATTGTAACTTGACGCTTATTGTTGTTGGTAACAATTAACGGTTGGTAATTCTCATCACAAAACGTTTTAAAAGTTTCAAAAAATTGTTCATAACTGTTGAATATTTGGCCCACTTTAATATCATTCTTAATATCATCCATGATAATGAAAGAACTCAAAAAATCACGCTTCACACAAAAAAAACGCAAAAAACCGATCAAATAACTATGCATAGAACACAAAATTAAACACAGAAAGGACCACGGAGAATCACGGAGCATAGAATAAAATGCAGACAAGTGTCTGCGAGCAACTGGTTTCATGTAATATACTTTTGTACTTTAACTTTACTGTTTTTACAATGTGGTAATATTGCGATAAGTACAATTCAAAACTGATTATCGGTGTGGTGGAAAATCCTCACGTCACCTTATCGAGACAGTGATAATCTTAATGTGATGAAATAATCTGCTAATTACTCTTATTAAGTTTTATACCAAGCGTGCCTAACCTTTTCAACTTGTGGGTACATTCGAAATTTATATTTATACTACGGGCCGTATACACTTCACGGTTTTTTTTTTGTTCATTGTGATAAAATGTACATAACAATAGACATGATATTATCTTCTTTCACTTATCGAATTGATCACTCTAATCGTGTATGTTCAAACTGTATGTACTTCAAGTACCTATTGTATACAATATCCATGATTACCGAGCAAAGAACGATTGACTGTTTTTTTTCAGTTTTATATTTTATTTTCGATACGAATGTACAGTACCTGCATACAACATTTTATGCGTAGGTACCGTACCTGCATTTAACGTTTTATGTATAGGTACCGTACCTGCTTATAACGATTTATGCGTAGGTACCGTACCTGCATATAAACACAACCATTTATTTATGTAGGTAATAAATTTCAAAATTTTAAATCAAAATATCTGGCAGAAATATAGGTATATAATATATGCCTTCATATTATGAATATTAAAACCATATCATTTAATGTGGTTTAAAAACTAATTCAGCTTAATTATCAATAAAACTAGAAATACACATTTTTCCAAAAATCTAAATCAGCCATACTCAACCTGCGGCCCGCCAATGGTTTATATGTGGCCCAAACAGAACTCATTGAATTAATAAAAAAATTTTAAAACTAATATAAGTAAAAATAGGTATAACAGAACAATTAAAGTGTGTCCTACGCGATTGCGATAAGAATGATTATGTTTTTGGTATTTCCACTATTAATATTTTATAATGATTTTAATGTATTTTATCTTATCGCTAAACTGGCCGTAGCTCGTTTGTAGGTACGTATTATTATTATACAAAACGAATTATTAGTTGCATTGTAAATGTGTAATAGCGTTGGTGTCAGGCACATTTATTTATTAAATATTTCAACCGTCAGTTGTGACATAAATTTGGGGTTTTATTTTTTAATACTTTTTTTGACATTATGGCAGGCGTATCTTCAAAAAATAAACGAAAACTATCTGAAGAAAATCGAATGTTTCAAGAAAATTGGGAAGAAGAATATTTTGTCGTACCAAATAAAAAGGGTTCTGCTACTTGTTTGATCTGTAGAGAAAGTTTTATACTTAAAAAATATAATATTATTCGTCATTACACTAACAAACACGAATCATTTGATAGTATTTATAGTCCCGGGTCTTTGATGAGAAAAGAAAAATTAAATTCTTTCAAGAAGTCATTGCAACAACAACAAAGTGTTATGTCAGTGGCGGTATCACAAGATGCAGCTGTCACAACTGCATCATACGAAATTTGTTACATACTCGGTAAGCATATGAAACCATTTACTGACGCCGAAATTGTGACGGAATGTTTTATAAGTGCTTCCTCCTTACTATTTGATAAGTTTAGCAATAAAAATCAAATAATATCGGAAATTAAAAAAATGCAGCTTTCTGATTCTACCTGCATTAGGCGTATAGAAAATATTGCAAAATATATTTATAATCGTACCATCGAAGACTTAAAAAATTGTAAATTTTTTAGCTTGGCTTTTGATTCTAGCACTGATATTTCAGGCACATCACAATGTTTTATTTTTGTTAGATACTGTACTGAACAAAATTCTATTAATCAAGATTTATTGAAATTCATTCCAACGAAAGGTCAAACGAGAGGCATCGATTATCTCAATGTGATTACTAATTTTCTTGACAACAATGATATTGATATCAAAAAATTGGTTTGTGTGTGTACCGATGGATGTCCATCGATGACCGGATGTGACAAAGGATTTATTTCTCTGTTGAAAAAACAATATAATTTAACAAATATCTTGTCATTTCATTGTATTATTCATCAAGAAAACTTGGCAGCACGCGTTTCTATTCCAGAAGTAGATTTAGTGATGAAAAGCGTGATAAAAATAGTTAATTATATTAGAGCAAATGAACTCAATCATAGAAAATTTAAAAGTCTTTTAGAAGAAATGAACAGTGATTACAGTGACGTTCTTTTACATACTTCGGTGCGTTGGCTAAGTAGAGGAAAAGTTCTTCAAAGGTTTTTTACTTTACGATTAGAAATTATTGCATTTTTACAACAAAATAATAAATTTGATGAAATTGATAAAAACAATAATTGGTGGTGCTTTTTAGCTTATATGTGTGATATCACAGAAAAACTTAATGAGCTCAACTGTGGCTTAGAGGGCGAAAATAAAATTATTTCGCAGATGGCAAATAAAGTTTTTGCTTTTGAAGAGAAGTTGGAGATCTATTACGAGGAAATACAGAACCAAATTCTACATAATTTCCCAACCCTTACAAAAGCTAAACAAGATGACATTATAATTTCTCAAACAAACAATATAATAATTTTAAATCATTTAACTGCCTTATCTAATAAATTTAAAAAAAGATTTCAGGATTTAAGAGGTGTAAAGAATTGCTTTTTACTTATAGAAAATCCTTGGCACTTAGAAGTAATGAGTATAACACAATTATCTGAATTGATTGTATCTGATTATTCAAAAGTATTTGATGAGTTTATTGAATTAAAAAATGATACACATTTGGAAGTTATTTTCAAAGAAAAGCGAGAACAAAAAGAATACTTTGAATTTTGGAATTTAGTGCCAGGAAAATACAAAACCATACAAAAATGTGCCCACTTTTTGCTAACAATGTTCACATCAACATTTTTATGTGAAACTTCATATTCAAAAATGAAATATGCAAGGAATGTGTACAGAAATCGGCTTACTGATTCACATCTTGACGACTTGTTAAGAGTAGCATGCAGCAAGTACAAACCAGATTTATCCAAAATAGTTAAAGAATTATCTCAATATCAAAATTCACACTAATTTAAAATAAATATTTAATTTTTTTACAATAAATTTTCAAATGTTGTACACAATATAAAAATGTATTTTTAGTCTTTTTTCCGTTCCGTTCATTTAGACTTGCGGCCCGCGTAATATTTTAAAATATTTAATGTGGCCCAAATGAAAAAAAGGTTGAGTATTTAGATTCTAAATACTATATAAGAAATTTTGTCGTTTGTGTAAACCAATTTTTATAATTTATTAATACTTCCTTACCTAAACGACATCCTGGTCTAACTGCAGGAAAAGATCTTACAAAATCAATACATTTAATATTAAATTTACTGTAAAAGTAATCATCATCAGGAATGGGAATTTCGTTACAATATGGATGTTTTAAATTTGAAGATCTATTACAGCATTCTTCTGGTTCATTCTTAGTTTTTGGATCTGAAAAATAGATTTTGATCATATCAATAAATATATTTAAACAGAGTAATGCATTTTAAATTATTTCCGAATGCTAATTCATAAATTTTGATTGTTATCATAAGATTTATTTTTATATGGTTTATATTTTTTATATTAAATTCTAGGGTTAATTACTTTCAATTAAGACAGGTAAAAATATCAAAAACATTATAATATTTTAACGTCTTGTTTTACTTCTATTAATAAATTTAAACTTAAATTACCAGCAGGAGTGCCCATGAGGGTAAAATCATGATCCAAAAACTGACCAAATGCAACTAACATCAGGGTAGCTGCATGCTCATGAAATCCTTCATCGGGGTGCATTATCCTCGAAACCACTCTGGCCATTGGTAGTTTTTCATTATTGATACCGGAGATTTTCGGTGCACTCATACCATCGGAAAACAGCGGTCCCACTAGCCTCGAAAACGGTGTATTTGTAGCACCCCACGTTGGGTATTTAACGTTGTTACAAAGACCATCGTATCTTCTGTATTTACCCACTCTGCATTCGACGTTTGACAAATATGCCGGACACACTTCTCTGATTAAAGTTTTGGAGGTATCAATCGTTGGTAATCCTTTTTCTACTTCCTCGTACGAAAGTCCATAACTGATTTTTTATAAAAGGATAATTATACCCATTAGTCAACGACACATTAGGTTTACACATCGGCTGAGAATTTTTACTTTTTAGTCAGTTGTGTTGATATGTCCAACAATAGTTCCCCAACGGACGCCAACTCTTGAGCGTTCCAATTATTTTTATTTGTTTGTGCTACACCTAAAAGTTTTAATATAATTATATCAATATTTAAACTCTGATCATTATTGCTTTTCACACAATATAAATCGCATACGATTTAAACATATATCTATTGGTAATAATAGTATTTCTCAATATTATTCATAATCTGGTAGATTAAAAAATTAGATTCTTCAACGGCTATAATGGTTTCGTAAAACCGGTTGTAAAAAATCTAAGCTCCTTTCACTGATTATGAATATAGAAAAGTGTACAGATATCGTACATCAATATTCTATCTGACATTTTTTTTTATTTTCTAGCATAATACTAATTATTTTGATTTCTAAATTTTGTGTTTCTGAAACATTAAATTTTAAATAAAAACAAATAATATAGCTGTAAATTTTCAAAATCAGATTGAAAAATGTGCTGTAGTATAAGTTTATAAATCAATTTTAAATAATTCTTATCGTTGTTTTTGTGTTATTATGAATCTTAAGAATTTTTTATACTTATATTTAGTTACTTACTGATCCTTTTTCTCGCGTCAATATATGCTTGGTTGATTGCTTCGTAAGTTATACATTGACCAGATTGACCCATACCACTTGATTATTAAAAATATAAATATAAAATAATTAGACCACACCCAATTTAATTTTTATTGTATAATCTATCAAAAATATATTTACAAAATATTTGAACTATAATCAACATATTAATTAAAATTCTCTACAATCAAGCATGATTTAAATATTGATAAAAATCTAAGATATCTATATTCAAATTGTTAAGGGTAGTAATTGAAAATTGTTTTTTAATAATAAATAAATATGTTTCATTAAAATATTAAATATATTAGCTTTTGATTGTATTTAACAATTTCCCCCCATCATGTTTTTATGATTTGATTTTTGCTGATTAAATTTGGACGGTTGATTTCCTAATGGATGTGATAGATAGGGATTTTACAAGCAATTATTAACAACGCAGTAGAACAAACAAAATTTCAATGAAAGAAATAAAGTATTATTTAAATTGTTGGGTGAATTATTATTGTATATTCAATAATTCACTATTATTTGCATTTCATTTAATTCTTAACTAATCTATACTTATTTGGAGATTTCTACTTGATACATTCTAGAATCATCCATTATCAATTGATAAAAATGCCAAATTATAGAATATTATTAAAATATTGTCAGTTTTAGTCGACTTTAGAATTACATCGATTTTATGTTTTGATTTCAATCATAAGAACACTATATTACATTAAAATTAATGTTATTTCAGAACATTCACGTAGTCGGTAATAAAACATATTTTTATCGTAAAAAATATTATTAATACTTACAGTGGACCACCCCTCAGTGTATTAGTATTAAAATCAAAAAAACTTGTCCTTCCCGGACCAGTCAATTTTAGAGCGCATTCGCTATCAGTTAATTGAGTTTTCCCAAGATTACATATTGTCAGTATTACACTGACAATTATAAACATGCTATAACAAACATAATAAAAATTATGAAAATTACTTATTTTCTACAGCATAGAATCGATACACAACATGAATTATAAGCCAACTAAGTGTTAACTTTTAAAGACATTTTTTATATTGACGATTAATTACATTCAAATACATTTGTGTATATTATGAATACTATGTACCATATTAACTATGCATACTATCTGATAAAAAAATGAAATGAAATTAAGAAAATTATGTTATAAGATTTGCTAACGCTTTCTAAACGAAATAATACCACCAAACGCGATCCTTAAATATTCCATTTGTTCAACTCAAATTATAATCATTGACCACAACGATTCATAATTAAGTTAAAAGAGTTACAAATATAATTTAATAATTTATGTTTATGACCCAGAACGATAGAGCTAAATTTAATTTATTTTATTTTAATCAGGCATCTCTATTTATGACGAAATCACATTGAATTAATTAAATATTACTCATCTAATGTCTGCAAAAGGTAATTATTTTTTTTTTGTCTTTGTGTGTTGTATATTAATGTCAGATTTTTCATAGAATTAAAATACTAATTTTTTCAACATTAGAAACACATTTTTGACCAATTTAGGTGCAATGACATAATCACACATCTTTTTTTTTTTTTCCAATTTGAATCGAAACGACCATCTGGGGCTTTATCGATGTCTTTTTCACTTGGGAAGGGTAGAGTGCGCTAAGAGGCACTTGCACCCCCTTTTCTAAGAAGATAATTGACACGTGTGTTAACTTCACTCCCAGTGGAGTGGGTTCGGGGAGAAACAGAAAAGGCAACCAGAATGATGGCAGGGGAGGGAGACTACAAAAAACCCTGCAGAATATTTTTTGCACTGAGCCAGGTTCGAACTGGTGACCACGTATAGTGGCCACATTGTGTGACCACTGGACCACTTTGCCCCCTTGACACATCTAAAAAAAAGTAATTTTACTAATTTTTATCATAATATTTAATTTTTTTTTTTCATATACTTAAAATTGTATTATCTTAAGTAATAGAAAATTTTCAAAATATTTCAATATTTATAGATCGAATCAATAATTAATTATATTTGTAATTATTTAAATTATAAATAAGCGATATGTGTATTATCATTTATTGGGTATCTATCCTGCAACTCCTTTACATTTTTATATTGTTTAAATGTCATTTCCAGATTATAATCTCTGCATTATATTCACTGAAATTCCAATAAAATACGTACATACATACAGTAATCCCTCGTTATCCATGAAGGTTACGTTTCAGACAAGTTTCGCGGATAACGAGACCATAAAACAATGTAAAAAAGGAGGTTAGGTTTTATTTTTTTAATTTTAAAATTCGCAATAACATTAATATATATTTTATAAAATTACGTAATGTACATATTTATTTGTTAAATAGGACCACTTTCCATAACATTTAATCGTATTTTTCTTCATTTTTTCGTATTTCTTGAATACTAGTTTTGTTAATTTCGTACTTTCTAGCAAGTGACGTTACGGTATCAACACTTCTAATCTATCAAAAATTTCACAAATATCAACTAATAACTGAACATTTGACGACTATTAACCGTACGCATGTAGATACCTTATGAGGTATATTTTTTATAAGTACATACATAGTTACCATGCATAGATACATTACATACATTACATACATACTTAGAGACATAGCAACAATAATTTGCAAAAATGAATCTACTTAAATTATCTACAGTGCTCGAATAACATCGGTAAAATATTATCGCATTAATAATATTTAATTGTGGATACAACCGCGGATAAGTATAGATTACTATATTTATACGAAAAGTTATTCATTGCTTCGAACACATTACGTGTTTAAAGTTTAAACTAAATGTCATATGAACAAGAATTTCATACTTCAATATGATAGAATTATTTTTAATTCTATATGATAAATATCTTTCATTTTCTCAGTATCTATAGTACATTATTAATGTTTACCATCATATTTTTAGTTTAAAATAACAGAATGAAATACAATTATATCATACGATTTTGTTTTAACGCTATGAAAATACTAAATTGTTTTATTACAACAATAATTATAATGCATTGTTTTAAAATATAAATAAAACAACAGTGTCCATTTAAATAGGTATATTTATAATGACTTACATTACATAAAAATACCCATTTCCAAACACATAAAACTATGTATTAAATTTGTTATCAGATTTTATGCGAACAGTTCGCATAACAAAACTTGAATTGTACTAGCTATTATATTATTATGTTTTGAGATCACCCGTGCTTTCACTGACATTAGAACAACATTATTATTTCTGCCATCACGTGATGCTTCGTATTAAAATGATTTTAGTACCGCAGTCACAGTTACTATAACAGAAAATTGCTTGGCTATAGTTTTCGGTTATCGATAAATTTACATTTAAGTTAAACTTCACTGTTCATAGAGAAGTATATTATGTTAATAAATTAGTTTTGCACAGATAAACTATAATTTGTTAATTTGGTTTTCATATTATTCACAAGAGTTATTTGAAAATACAGATAAAATGTGATTTTGTACTATTAAAGCAAACAAAATTAACACCCGTATAACTTCATATTCTAGCGTCTGACTATGCTGACAATAAAGGCATTAATAGTATTTTATAAATATATAAAACAAATCGTTTTCTTATATCCTGAAACTTTCGCCAACTACACATCATTTTAAAAGTACAAACATGAAAGCTGGCAGTGCAATAAATCGTTTCGTTTCAATCGCTAAAGTGTATTAATTTTTATTTCTATTTTCGTTCTGTGCATATGAGAAGAAACAATTACACTTTGATCATGTTTTGATTGCAAAATGTGATATTGATTGCAAATTGCATTAATGAGTGTCATTACAGTGAAAATATAAGGCATTTTTTTTTATTTTTATATTTTTATTTTTTGGATTATTCGGTCACTAGGACCATCCCGTTTCCCAACTAATTCTCCATCCGTCATTATTCCTCACCAAATCCTACCAATTTGCTCCGCCTCCTAATTTTTCTACATCCCTCTCAACTGTATCTTCCCATCTCAATTTTGGTCTTCTCAAGGGTCTTTTTCCAAACGGATTATATTCCAGTAATTCCAACACCATTAGTAAAGAGTTTTGGCTCCGCATTCCATGTCCTACCCAGTGCAGCATTAACATATTCTCTTAATCAGCTCTTCTATATTGTTTTCATTAAACATTTCTTGAAGCTCTCTGTTTTTCCATCTACTCCACTCTAATAAAGCTATTTATGTTCAACTAATTGAATACGGCATACAAGACAATACAAAATAATATTGAAATTACGAACACAAATGTAAAATTTTCTATTACAGTTCTTTTTGAAATAGAAATCGATATTATCTTTAAACGATGAGATATAATGTATCATAAATATTATAGTCGAGATACAGCTGTAATATATTGTTTTAAATAAAAACATTAAAACAATCAAAACATTATATTTATAATGTATATGATTTGTTATCTTATTAAATAGTCCTGTGTTATTATCTTAATAATTATGATGAGGAATAGATAATTGCGTCGGAGAAAAAATTAAACTCAAGTTGCCAGATGGAACATAAAACATTTCACAAAACACGATTTTAATTATTCTGGATGACGTTTTTACAGCACAAGTTAAACAAATATAAAAATATTTTGTTGAAAACAAATTTGTGATAAAATATTGCAATTTTCTGTGAGAAAGCAATCCTAATGCAACGTAGCTTTAAGAAAACCGTACTATGTTACATTATTAATGTACAAATCTAGAAAAAGATTAATATTGCATTAAATACTGCATTACTAAATAATATATTGCGCATGACATTTCACCATAACAAAATTAAAAATGAATTTATGGTTTGTAATAAGAATTCTCAGCATCAAATATTTTAATCATAACATAAACTTCTATTTTTTTGAAGGCTAACATTAACACAAAACTGCTTTATTCCATTAATATATAAATTTTTAAATTAGTATTTTAATGGAATACTCTGAAAAAACTTTTTATGTGTTAAAGTAGTCACCTAGTCACCTGTAGCTACACATACAATTGTAGTATAGAAAAACTAAATTTAAACATAATAACATATTGTTATACTGAATGTAATTGTTCATATACGCAGAGAAAGTCTTATCAGGAATTATAATTTTTTATAACTATTCGTTTGTGACTTCATTCTATTATATTGTAGATTTTTTATTAATTTTTTTTTTTGGACTAACATTTCCATTGATGTCCTAAAAATTTGCACAAACTTAAAAATCAATTTGTACAAAAACAAAAAAAAATAAATACGTATAATTTAAAATAAAAAACAATTAAAAAAAGTATTACGAGTACACTGGAAAAAAGAACCACTCACTTTCGAAATTTTCGGAAATATCATCAAAAATTGTTAGGATGATGTTTTAGTTTACAAAAAACTTTTCTCTTGTATATTTGAAAATAAAGATCATCACAAAGTATAACATTTAAAATATAATATGAGCACCAATAAGTTATCAATAAAATAACATTTTATAAGAGAAATTTTCTAAAATTGTTTACTCTAAAACTTCATTATTGTACATGGAATCGTAAATTTAGCTGAAAATAAAAATATTTCAGTAAAATATTCAGTATTGAGATATTTTAACACTGCGTATGGGCACCATACTCTGTATTCACGTATTTAAAATTTGATTAATTCTTATATCCTTTCGATAGATAAACATTAAAATCATATTTTTACCACATATATGTATCTTAATAAATACTTTTACCTATGTCTACCCCAAAAAAAAAAAAAAAATTGTTCTCATGTTAACAGCCTATATAGTTATTTACAACAAATGATTAGGTAAACATTTTTTGGCAGTAGGATTCTATAATATGAAGCTACAAAATTCGTTTCAAAATATGTTTATAAATTACTTCATTATTCATTCAAATATATTTTAGGAAAATTAAATTTAATAATGAAAAATATATTTAAGTACAGTAATACAGAAAAGTTTTAATTTTTCGATTGTATAATAATAAAATATATTTATTTTACAACAATAAAGTATAAGTTAAAGAACAAATAAAATAAATACGTATGTATATAAATATAAATGTATCTAAATATGATTAACATATTATGTATGATACATACATTTTAAAGTAAATATATGATAAATATATAAATTCAAATTTATACAAATTTAAATTTATAAGTACTCATAAAACTATACGTAATATTGCATTTAGTTTGTATTGTTTATTATTTGAATTTTGAATTTTGAATTTTATTTACACTAATGTTAATACTCTTTATCACTAATATAAAGTCAAGTTTTATCACTTAGATCTGTTATAAATTAAATACTTTAAGACACTCATAAATCATTAAGAATGAAAACTATAGTTTTCATTAATAAAAAGTTTTGATAAAATTCGAATTAAACACAGGCGTTTATTCAAAAAAAAAAAACACAATAACATTACCGTTTTCTTTAAAAAAAATCTCAATCGATAACTAGGAAAATGCATTTTCTTTGAAACTTTTATAGATTTAACTTTATTTCTAGTTATGTTAAAAATGTTTTTTCTTACACAAGTTTTAATATAAAATTACACAACGAAAAAAAAATACGACTATATCATCAATAATAACTAAAAATATGTATATATAAAGTAATTCACTAAGTCGTATTTAATTTATTAATAAATAAACCAAATAATTTGAATTATCAGTATAAAAAATTATATTATTCTTAAACTTACCTATCCATTAATGACTAATGTGACTATCCTCGAACTAAACTCTACAAATCACAATACTCGTGTATATACTATAACGTTTAAGATCCGTGTGAGAATACAAATTCAAAGATTCAGAGATCGTCTCAATGACCGCTTTTTCATAGAAAAACTTCTCCTACCCTTTTAACATAATATAATAAAATTCAAGATACCTTTCACTAATCAAGTATACTTTAGAAAATATAGTTACATCAAATACGCAATGTGCAGAATTTAATTAATTAACTACACACAGAAATGTCATTAGAGTACTAAAAATGGTTTGAAGTATAATTATCGCATGTAAATTAAATTAATTATTCTATTATTTTAGGATAATTTTTAACTCATCAAGTATCAAATTAATATAACTACATACAATAATGCAATAAGGATATATATTTTACAAGTATGTATAATTGTATAACAATAAACTTTTTATTTCCGGTACGTTCTATACGATTTAAATGTGAAATTGTAGGTGAATCTCAATATTAATATGCAACTTGATCAAATGATACATGAATCACAGAAATCTTATCTAGCTCATCAATTAGTCAACCCCTGGTTTATTCAAATGTAGTTTGAAGAAATCGCTACTCTCCGTACTGTTAATTCCTCACTTTGGTATGTTTACATATCATAATAATTTTAAAATTGAAATTGTAAATTAATTGGTTGATCAATAAAAACAATAAAAAATCCACTTAAATACAAATTTATCCAAATCTGTTTTAATTAATAACAATTCTCTACCAACACGCTTATTATGAATCTCATCGCTTTACCCATTCATAAAAAAATGCTAATTAGTACCAACTATTATTTTTTTAAATACAAACGATAAATAATGTAAAAAATATACACTAAAGTATAAATATAACTATGTAAAACTCATATATTATTATTTCTATTGAATTGATAATGTTGAAATATTGAGTGTCATCTACTACATAAAATTCTTTATATTATATATATAATAAAATTTATACGAGTAACAACAAAAAATGTTTATAAAAAATATTTTATAAATAAACAATTGTTTATTATTATTAATTTTATATTTTAATAAGTAGATAATAAATATGGGATCTAATATATGAATCAAACCAAAATATATTTGAATAAAAGCAAATATAACTGTATTATTAAAAATGCACTTACTCTGGTCAATGGTGAAATATTATTATTAACAGCCGAAGCTTCTGATAACTGATAACTGAAAAAACGGTGTCATAACAGCAATATTTATTAAACGTATTGAACCATTGAGTGGATTGACTGTATTGTATTATCTAGATCATTACAAAAAAAAACAATTAATTGTGTTATACTCGTACTTAAACAAATATTGTAATTACTTCAACTAAAACACATATTAACTAAAATTAAAACATACATTTTAAAAATAAGGAGGAATAATACAGGATAGGACATAGATAAACTAATTAAAAATATATAAAAATGTAATTACAAAAATGAATATACAAAATCAATACAATTTGGCTTATATATATTATAATACTTTGATTGTTTCATGTAAAAAATAACCTGGTATTTGGTAATAAATACATTAATACATAAAATATTTAGTATATATTAACATAAATAATGTACCAATTCATTATAATTTTAGACATTTTATCAAACTTTAATTTTGTAATTAAATTTTTGGATAAAATTGTTGAAAAAATGATTATCTTAATACTAACTATGGGTATGATTTGTATATAAAAAACAAAATAACAATAATAATAATAATAAATATTTCCAAAAATGGCCGATATATGTTTTGGTTTATGTTAATCAAATAAGCCAAACATATATTTAATAGATTTCAATAATATCTCTTCATTTTAAAAATCTTTCATTAAAATACTATTTGTTTTTACTATTTGTTGCGAATAGTATTTAATCAAAAATAACGGATGCATATATTTTTATGATATTGGAAAATCAGCCCATTTATTCAAGTTCACCGATGGAATGATTCCGCTTCGGCATGGTACTCGAGGATTTCTATAAACACACAAAAATTAATTTTTTTTATTAATAATTATAACAATGTTACTTAGTTATTAAAATTAATATTATATACATATACAAAAAATATAAAAAATCTATTTTTTATATATTTATTTCTAAAAATTACAATAGGACAATATGAATGCAATTATAAGAAAAGTCATGTTAAAAGTTTCTGTCAATGTAGTTTTATCTATAGTCTGATAATCATCTTATATGTACTAAAAATCTTTTAGAAACCAGAAACCAATATATGAAATACTGTAATTTATTATTTTGTTATATGAGTATGCATGTTTTAATTAATTTGATTTCAAAAATGAAAACAAAAAACCAAAAAGTTGAATGATACTAAATGCTCGTTTAATGAAATATTTAATAGAATACTGATAACCAACAATACCAGAATTATTCATAATAAAGATTATACCTTATCATTTTTAGTCATATTTAAATTAATTTAAAATGACTTAGTATACCAAAAGCTCAATTTATTCTATCCATTTAGATCAGTGGTTCCCAAACTGTGCTCCACGGAACCCTTAGGGCTCTGCAATTGTTCCTCAAGGGCTCCGTTCGTTTTACCATAAAAAATGAAATAACGTAACAATTATTGATAGTAATTTAAAACAAGGAGTGTGAATATTTTTCAAAACTATTAACTCAAATATAATTCACCAATACGTATCCAAATAATATTTCAATCCCGATAAGAAAACAAATTTTTTTTAATTTTGAATAATATACGTTCCCATTCCAGGGGTTTCCCAGTCAGATATATTACATATAAATAAAATATTAAATGTACACTATTTTGTTTTGAGTTTCCTCTTATATAAATACATGGTATGTGTAAGAACATAGGAAAATAATACTTAATTTTAAATATTTCTTAGAGCCCCACGAGGAAATATTGCTTAAAAAAAAACCACATGTCTGAAAAAGTTTGATAATCACTGATCTAGATAGTAAAATAAAAAGAAACAAATTTAAATTGTTTTTAGTATTTCATTATTAATACATTTACTTAAAAAATTATTACTGAAAAATTAAAAAATTAACTAAAAATTATACTCCAATTGTGTACTTATGACAAATAATGTAATTATGTAATATAAAAACTTTAGGAGTGTTTCTTACATTTCATGATCAGGTAGAACGATTGGCCACAATTGAATGGTGTCCATCAAATCAGTATTGTCACATAACACTCGAGCTAATCTAGCTTTTCGAATTTCTTTAAGTTGTTCTGAATATAAAAATATTTAATTTCATTAGCATGATATCTATGGTTGTTTATTTGTTCTTCTATCCAACATTGAATATTTTTCTAAAATACCTGGAGTAAACGAAGATGGTTGATTGGGCAGTTCGTACCAAAAACGATCACCTCTTCTGGCATAACTGAATTGAGTAGCTAATATACACGAAAATACTGGACCAGCCATGCTACCGGGTAATGGTTTTTCGGACACGCCTCCGGACCATAAATCTACGTCATCTGGAGAACTGTAAAGATAAAATAAATGTATAAACTTAATAAGTAAGCGTTGACAATTTATATGGATTTATATTCACTCGTATATTGTCGTATATCGGAATACAGTAGAGTTAGGCATATCCAAGGATAAACTCTGGAATGAATCAGATGCTGGAAGGCCACAAAATTTTCTATAATAAAAAAATATTTATCATTATTATATACACATATATGTATATCAATTTAATCAATTTTCAGTTTATTTATAAACCAAAATAGTACATAGTACGTATGTACTAATATTACTATAGTATAACTTATAATTATAGCAGCGCCTATACATAATCTCGTTTCACTTACCTGTATTCCATAAATCCAGGCAATCCAAATTCTCTGCCTCGTTGAATATTGAATGCCACTAAATCAACTCCAAATCTTTGGCCCGGTTTCTTAAACAACGTATTCGTTACCTCTTGTGTGACTGAGTCGTCCATTGCTTGCGCAACTTGATTTGTCAACCCCATTATATATTCGTCAAAAACTCCAGCTCTGTATAAATCATATGGACGGCGGATGAGATCGGACAATTTTTTAGAGGCTATGGTCATAGATTCAAAATAATCGAATATTATTACTTGTATTTTATTTATGCCACGTATACATGAATATAAATGAGTTATTATTTACCAATAAATTTGTGTGCCTTGCTCCATCTCTCTACCGTTGTAGGCAAAAATGTATGACCAATTCTAAATGCGGCTGCTGAAAATTCAGCGAGAATATTAGGATTTACATTCGGATCATAACCATTCCAATAACCCTAAACACAAATCACGTCTTATAATTTTAAATAAATTTTAAAAATTAATAACATCTAATGAAAAATACGTATATCTATTGAGAATAATATTAAAAATTAAAACCAATTAATGCAATAACAATCTAACTACACATTTAAGACGTTTGCATAATTGATATCAAACATAATTTACATGTTATATATGACATTTTTATTAATAAATATAATGCATAGATGCAATCTTGAAAGTAAGCAATAAGATTAAGAATTTAAAATCTGTAAAAAATAGGCTTAAAAAAACATTTATTAATTTTTTTTCATATAATTTCATAAGAAGAATTATTATTTTTATGATAAAATTAATGTTTATTATACTGTTTTATATTGTTATTGATTATATTAAATTTGTTTATAATCGTTATTTGAAATTTAATTTTATCATTTGTTATAAAATTAAAAAAATATAAACAAACCTATTAGGAGTGCGTAATCATTATAGAAGGTTTAAAAAAAATGTTTCCCTTTAATTATCAACTATAATAATTACTTCTTTTTGTAATAATAGTCCAAATTTTTCCATCACTCCTTTTCCAAGCAATGTAGGTAAAAACTCATTATATGTTATATGTTGAATTTCCGCAATCACGATCCTTCTAGCTTCTTGGAAAATAGTTTCATCATCCCAATGAGGATTAATTTTACTGAATTCGTGTGCTATTCTATTATGTTCTCTAGCCCATATTGTGTGCATAGTAGCCAAAATGAGTTGTTCATTTACTCTTACTTCTCCTAAAAATAATAATATAATAATAAATAAATAAATAAAATCACTCTCACATTAATATTTTAAATGCAAATTGGTTATTAAAAATAATAAGAAGCTATAAACTAACTATGAATGCATTTCAAAAGACTGCAATTACTTGATTTACCTGCATCAAAACAATATTGTGAACGATTTAATCTCGTACATCCTTCATCAGGATCTTTAAGTCTCAATGGCAATAAATCTTTTAGTCCGTGATTTTTAAATGCCGGGTTCATGCGAAGTAAGCCTCCATAACCAGTTCTCAAATGTCTGATACAAAGTACAAGTTTCATAATCAATAATAAATTCATCCTATCTACTTATCATATAAACCAATATCTTAAAATTTAATGTTTTAAGCATAGTATAAGAAAGAATTTAATTTTAAGAAAAACCGCTTATAAGTGTATCACTTTCAGATGCCTACATGATTTGATGTACATAATATATGTAATATACTTAATTAAACGTTAATTCATAAGAAATTATTAATTATAAATACTATAATATCATAATTATAATAGGAAAATAATACTAAAATATAGTGTTGATAAAAAAAAATAAATATATTTTACATACAAATATTAATTTTAACTTCAAATTTAAAAAAAAAAAAATGTTTATCTTATTGCACTTAATTTAACACTTAATATTGTATGTAAAGAAATTTGTATTTAAATGTTAATACCTAGCATATTCTTCAGTTACACTATAAACTGTATTCGCGTCAATTACACCAGTCAAGGTATTGAATCCTATTCTTGAACCTAAAATAATATTTTACAAACCACGTAAATTATTTCAAAATATTTTACATACAAATATTTTTTATAATATAGACTTAGATAATTGAGCTTTGCTATTGAAATTTTTTATAGAAAATTCCTTACCTAAGCGACATCCGGGTCTAACTGAAGGAAAAGACCTTACGAAATCGATACACTTGACATTAAATTTACTGTAAAAGTAATCATCGCCAGGAACGGGAATTTCGTTACAATAAGGATTTTTTAAACTCGGAGGTCTATTACAACATTCTTCTGGTTCATTCTTAGTGATGGGATCTAAAACAAAAAAGATTTTTTAAATTAATTATCCCAATATATTGTATAATAAAAATATCTATTCTATATTTTGAATGTAATAATACTTTAAATAAAAAACTAGTCGCACCATTTTAGTTTTATTTAGCGTGGGATTTAATTGTATGGAAAAAAGCTATGAACTTTAAAAATTACCAGCTGGCGTGCCCATGAGTGTAAAATCGTGATCCATAAACTGACCAAAAGCAACTAGCATCAAAGTAGCTGCATGTTCATGGTATCCCTCGTCCGGGTGCATTGTTCTGGAAACCACTCTAGCTATTGGTAGCTCTCTGTTATTGAGGCTGGAGACTTTCGGAGCACTCATACCATCGGAAAATAGTGGTCCCACTAGCCTCGAAAACGGCGTATTTGACGCTCCCCACGTAGGGTGTCTGACGTTGTTACAAAGACCATCATACCTTCTGTATTTACCCGGTCTGCATTCGACATTAGATAAGAACGCTGGACACACTTCTCTGATTAAGGTTCTTGACGTGTCTATCTTAGGTAATCCTTGTTCTACTTCTTCGTATGAAAGCCCATAACTATGTATTTAAACGTAACCCTACATTAGTTAACAATGCACACTCAGTATGTGTACTAGTACGTTATTCCATTTTACTTTTTCGTCAACTGTATAGATATATCCAACAAGAGTTCTCCAACAGATGCCAATTCTTGAGCTGTCCACTTATCTTTATTTGTTTGTGCCACATCTAAAAATTTAAATATTTGTGCTTATAATTTCTAGTTATTGTAATATTAATTTTTCGAATGATTTTTCTACTATATGTTATACAGGTCACATTATGTGAGTCTGATGTATCTTTAATTTTATCACATTATATAGGCAATTGGATTTTGCAATACTATAACAGTTACAATAAAAATAATTCCCCAACAACTATTCAAAAAACCGGTTATGCAAATAAGTATTATGAATTTTTTATGCTGTCACTGCAAGTTATCATTAATTTCTTTAGAAAATTGTATTTATATATATATATATATTTGAATATTATACTGTTAAATATTTTTTATTTAAATTTGGAATTAAATAAAAATAAAACTTAAATGCATCGTGATTCATCAGTTAAATACAAAATTTAGTTATATAATTTTTTATAAACTCCTAGATAATAATCTAATAAATAACTATAAATGTATTTTATGTAACTAATTTATGATATTCTTATGAACTTAATTAAAATTTTTTTTTACCGTGTATACTTACTGATTCTTTTTCTTGCATCTATGTATGCTTGGTTGATTGCTTCATACGTAATACATTGACCTGATAAACCCAATCCACTTAATAATTCAAAAAACAAACAAATAATTAGATTACAATATAGTAATTTTATTAAAGATTCTTGTATTAATCATATATTAAGAAATCGTGTAATATCATCAGATGTAGTGTATTATAAATTATAATTACATTTTTATTGATGAACTTTGTTTATTTTTTATTTAAACACATTTAATTTCCAATAATACATGTACCTACAGCAATTGAAAATGTATGGATTTTTTTTGACGAATTTTAAATTATTTAATTTATATTTTGGTTGAGTTTGAAAATAATTATTATTTGAATAATAAAATGTATTATTTTTGTTAAATCCATGTATCAAAATTTGTTTAAAGTATGCCATGTCTTAGATCAGTATGCGCAACCTAGGGGTTACCAAATTTTATTAGGGGATCGCCAACAATAATTTAACACCAAATGAAAAAGTTTGATATTACATATGTATATTATTTTATAAAACACTAATTTTGTATTCATTTTATTTTGTTTTCGATCAATAAAATTAAAGAAATATCAAAATTACCAACAATTAACGAATTAATACATATGAATTAAATTATTCTATATATAATACACTTATATAATGTTAGTAGGAAGGGGGAACTCGATTTTACATCAAAATAAATTATTTTAAGTTCATAAATCAAAAAGGGTTATGTATTGCCATCTTAAAATTATAAAACTACAAAAAAATTTAGTTACAATTAAAATCTATTTGTATAAAAAAAAGGTTATTTTTTTGGTCAGTATTTAATATTGAGTAAAAGATAACTCCTAATATTCAAGAAATAACTGTATACCATATACCAGAGGTTCCCAAAAAGTGCGCCGCGATGTCTATACAGAGGCGCCGTGACGTCATGAAATATTATCTGGTCTAAAATTTTCCTTATGATTAGACATGCGATGACTTGGGGAAGGGCGCCCTGAAAAACTTTAGATCAAAAAGGGCACCGTGAGTCGAAAAAGTTTGGAAAACACTGCCATATACTATATGTTACATTTTGAACCAACTAATAAAGTACCGAACATTATTTTTTTGGAAAATAAACCCACCACGTTGTTCAATATCCTTTCCCTCAAATTTAAAATACAATCAATTAAATAAATATTATTTCATATTCATTATTTTATTATTATTATTTTTACAGTGGGCATAAAGAAACTTAAAAATAAATTAAAATGAATCGATATTAATTTAAAACATCGTTTTCAGATTTATGTTTCTACACTTTTATCTATTAATTGGTTTTCACAACTCAACTATTCTTCTTATTTGAAGACATTTTATTTAAATTTAAAGATACTTATTTAAAAATATATTAAATGGAGTTATTTTGAATTTTTCAATTTAAAATACAAAGAAAATTTCTTGTTGAAATGTATATCGTGGTTAGTAATTCATTATAAAATATACATTATATACATTATATACAATATACATTCGTTTAAAATATACATATATACATACTTTGGACCTCCTTTCAATGTATTAGAATTAAAGTCAAAAAAACTAGTCCTTCCTGCACCAGTGATATGAAGTGCACATTCGGCATCTATATATTGGGTTGATGTTAAAGTACATATTGCCAGTACCGAACTGACAATTATAAATACTCTGCAACAAATTACACATATAAAAATATTAATATAATTTAAAAAAATATTACCTTCTGATCGTTATGAGATAAAATGTATCTAATATTTACTAGCAATGATTCTAGACTTGAAATAAATACAAATCGTCGAATCTCAAATGGCTCCCATCTATCTAGTTTGCTTATTTTCAAGCAACTCCCGTCAAAAAAAATTTTACATTTACGAACAGGTAAATTGCCAAACGGCTCCCGTCGAAAAAAAATGTACAAACAGATATAATTGTATAGTTATAAACTTAACAATAATTATTGGACATATGCACGCCTGTCTACCAAAACAGCCTACAAAATAACTGCAAGATATTATTACGCTCTTCGTAATGCTATTGTTATATATATATGTTAGAGTTAAAGCATTTAATTTCGTTATTTTATGAAAAAACTAGGTAGTTCAAGAATTACCAATGAATGTTAGTTAAAGTATGATATCATACATGAAAATTATACTTTAACTAGTTATTTCATAGAATATCTAGTTATTCTATACAATTTTAGTTTGATATATGTTAAAGTATAAAATACATTAAAATTTAAAATATATTATAATATTCTATTTATTTTAAATTTAATTATTTATTTGTACATACAAGGCTATTGTAGAGGCATACGAACCAACACTGAATGCGTATGACTGTAAGACTTTTAGTAAACTTTAAACCTTACTAATATTATTGATAATCTTAATAATAATATATATACAACAATAATTTTGTCTACAAGTTAAACTTACATGAACATTGCAGTCACCAATAACAAAAACGGCAGTTTTATCTAATTTATTGCTATGATGGGTAGTAAAATAACAATATTGTACATGTATAAATATATCAATTTGACACATTTACTAACCAGGGAATGTATTAAATAACTCGTTAAAGTATAAATTATATACATTACCTACACGTTTTAGTTATTTTATAAATTATCTAGTTACTTCATAAACTAACTAATTTAATAAATTTAAAATTTATAAAACGAAAAACCGAAAATATATATAATTGTGCCGAAACAATTTACCCGATTTATGATTTTTTTTTATATTTTTATTTATACAAACATATTTTACATTTTTTTATATTTTTCAACATTAAAAATTTAAAATTTAATATTATACTAAAAATTATTTTTATATTATTTTAATAATTTACTTAGTGTACACCAGGAACAATTTAACCATATCTCTTTTGAGACAGACCTAAGTCTGTATAAAGTGGAAAGGAATTTATGTTGTAAAAAACCGGAGCCGTTTGGAAATTAACCTTTTTGTAATACGGGAGCTGAATGGGCTACCACCAAATAAATGTATCAAAATTATCTAAATATATATATTAAAACTCGTTTCTTTACGGACCGGACCGGACTGATACATTTTAACTAAGACCAAGACCAGACTGGACTGAAACATTATTATTTTACTATGTTATGTGTTGAAGTAAAATTATATTAAATTGTTGTTCAAGTAAAGACCATTATTATCTTATTGATCTTATTAAACTGAATGCGGACGAACCGGACTAAACTGATTTTTTTTGTAAACAAGGGAACCGGACCGGACTGGACCACGTTAAATTGAAAAACACGAAGACCGAAAATTATCGGACCTTAGCCCGGTCCGGTCTAGACCAGAACGTGCAGAGCTCTAATATATATATATGTATATGTATGTTATATATATATATATATGTTACGGCTAAATTCCGAAACACGGCTAAACACTATCCGGATAATGTGCACACAATCCATAGTATCTGGATAAAATTAACGCTTAACATTTAGAATCATAATTTCGTATATTAACCATTGATTGATGGATGAAGTAACTGGGTAGAAAAAATGTACAAAACCTGGTCTTATATAATTTTATTTTCGACGGAATTAAATGTAAGATATAAAATTACTTATGGTGCTAATTTTATGATGTAAAACCCGTACAAAGATGATATGTAATTATTTATTACTACCATTTATCTCACGATCATTTATCGTAATCGTTACCTATATGAGTAAAACGTCAGTTGCTGTGAAATTATGTTCGGAGTATAACGTCAAGTTCTGAAATATTAAGAATTCAAAATACAATTTGTATGTATGTTTTAATAAATTAATTGCGAAAAAAAAATTCGATTTATTTATCTTAAAAAAAATATTATTATGTATGTTTCGTGAGATAAATGGTATATTGAATCCTCGTTTTACTCCTCTTAGTTCCACCCTTGTATATATGTAACACTTTAATTCATATTACATTTTTTTTTTTATATTTCAGATGGGCTTAAATGCAATAATCAGGTAAAATTAATTCACTAACAAATTTTGTTTTATATTAACAGTTGATTAAATTTTTATTATTATTATTATTTTTTAATTGGTAAGTATAACCAAAAAAATTTAAAAAATTACCTATGTCAATTCAATTTAATATGATTTATATTAGCTTGCAAACTGCACTTTCAATATTTTTGTTGCTCACGTTTGTATCCTATTCATAGATTTCATACTATAAGAGAAAGTATTCTAACAAATTGTGATGAGAATCACGAACTCAGCTGAAGACTGTTAAATCTACAAATTTAATAGTTTTGAAATAAATGTTATAACTTATTATTGTTTGAATGAAATATATTTTATAAAATGATGCTAGTCTATATCTATTAATGATATCATTGCTATGTTACTCATTTGTTAACTCATTTTAGCTAAATCATGATTAACTAACTATGATATATTACAGGGGCGTATTTGGATATTTTTTTTTTTGAGGGGGGGGGGGAGCTGTGGTATTTTCTCCAACTGGAATTCCCTAATTCGGCCTATTAAAAAGAAAATTTGGAAAATTAGTATACAACATTTACCTATAATAGCGAAAACAAGTAACAACTATACGACGAAAACCGATCATCGTGATAGTGTTATCGGTCGTCGCCGTCACTTTTCGGAAATATTTTTGTTCATACGGGCTCGTATAAATATTGTACGATGATTGAGACGCGACAACGTGTGTATATCAGTAAATTAATTCTAGATAAAAGAAATCGAAATTACGATAATGCAGCAGTACGGTACGTCAAAATTAAGCACATGTACTAAACTCAATGGTATAATCGTCACGATCAAAATCGCCAAACACTACATGAATAACTTGTTCGTTGTAACTAATAATTCTTTGTAAAATTATATTGATCTTTTACGATTTACATCTGATAGGACATAATAAGCAGACTCAGACCGGGTTGCATAAAGATCAGTCAGTGAACTTGTTACTGGCCTTGTCACTTATTCATTCTGTTAAGTTTTACTGATCGATAATATTATTGAGGTGTTTCATAAAGAAAATTTAATTTTATTGATAGCTGTGGTTACCAAGTAAATTAAACCGTAAAATAATATATTTGATAAATAGTGATAACGAAAATAATATTAACTTATTGATACCAAATAAATGTATTCTACAAATTTAAAATTATAATACTATAATAAACATAATTATAATACATAATCCTATGATGAACCGTGAACAAATAGGGGATTTGTTATAACGCGAAAAACTCGCGTTCTAGGTAAAAATTGAACGATTTTTATAACAAAATCATCTTCATCGCTGGACAAAGATGATGTAGAATATTCCATTATTAATGTTTAAAATTATTATAGTATTATTATAGTTTAAAAAGAAACAAAATTAATTATATAAATATTGTGGATAAAATTTGTAATTGATAATATCGGTTATCATTAATATATCTATAAGTTACCGAACCAAAATCGGATCTGTAGTATACAGGACCAACAATCAGTAACATATAGAACCGTTAACACTATTTGGCGTTTATAAAACACCCAATTTTAATTACCGAACCATTAGTGCGTTATCAGTCTGTAAACTGTATGCAAGTCGCTAACGAACGTTTATGCAACCCACCCTTAATAAACAATTCCTTTGACAACAATTCCCTTAAACAAGCCTCCTCAGCCCCCCCCCCCATAAATACGCCCTTCTTATATTACATTAACGCAATTCAGTAATCCCCATACAATAATTAAAAACAGTTATATGACCTAAGCACTAAAGATGCAAAAATGACATAATTTGTGACATATTTTCTTCCGTAATAAAATTATATCTTCGTGAGATATCCTTAATTTTTTTATGGAGGATAGTTCATAAATAAATATGTGCTTTGTAATTTTAATAATACATCAATTACTATATGAATGGAACGATGAACCACATAAAATTGGTCTATTAATATCGATTTATGATTTAACTGCATTTGTAGTCCGTATAATCTCATTATACGGAATTTCAGCCAATATTTAAAAAAAAAAAGATTCTAGAATTAAGTTATGTTTCTAAAATGTAATCAGTAAGTTTGTAAGTTGTTTAATTTTCAAGTGTATTAGACATTAAATCTGTAAAATAATAATAATAAAATATGCATCAGATTCTTCGGTGCTCAGAAGAAAAGCTAAACCACAAAAATTATTTTGGTGTTTTCGTACGATACGAATTTTTTTTCTTATCTCATTTTGGCGCTTATGTCTTTCACTGATTAAAAACTGGTCTCAAAAATTAAGCGATAATCAATAAAAAACTAAATTAAAAATAACCTACTATAAATTTTTCTCACAAAAAAAAATTCTATAGTTAAATCATTGATTTTCTTTAAAATATTCAACATCAGTTATAATTTTTAAGCTATTGATATAAAACTGTTTAATTTTTGTGTTTTTAATACTTAAAATCAGATAATATCTTCTTCGTCATTTAATGTATTTCATTAAAATACATAATTGAAGTTCATTAACCTATAGAATATTTCATTAAGTATAAACATTTGTCAATGAACCATAGAGTTTTAAATAATGCATGTGTCAGCATACTTATATCTGTATTCCTCTAAAGTTCAGTATGAACAAAATATGATTTACAGTTTATTCATTTTTTTCACACAGACGTCCAATACACAGTTTGGCATTTTTTTTAACTTGAAAATGATTGGTAATCATTTTAATAGATCCTCTTGGCTACTAGAAAAACTAAACTAATATTATGTGAACGATTACATTGATTTTATTATCAGATTTTTACGAGCGATACGTAGCACGAATTTATAAACACAAGTTATTATGGGTATTGTGTTTTGGGCTCACCCACACTTTCACTAACAACAAAACCATATTATTATTATTATTATTGTTATTATGCATGCCATCATCATGCGGGACTTAATTTTAAAACCATCTAACATCTAAATATCATGGTCGTAATAGATAATGTTACATACGAGTTCATGCACACTTAACACTTAACGAAGAATAATTTAATCATATGTTGTTATATGTTTCATGTAGTTATCAAATTTAAAATGTTGAAATCTTTTCTGAAAATCAAGTATCGAAATCATGACATATGTATCTATTATCCCGATGTAACCAACTCATATCCATTTTAAATTATTATAAATTATTTATAATACATTGCCCTTCACATTTACAGTCATCTAATTGGCAAAACCTTTGAAAAAAATGTATGATAATCCTAAGAATAATTTGGTCTATGTACCAGTATAATTAAAATTCGAAATTAAATCATGTTTAAATGTACAATAACACAATAACGTGCAATAAGAGTATAATTTACCATCTACAGAGAAAGTATTGAACAAAAATTATATTTTTTATTATAATAGAGCTATGGTGAAATACCGTATTATATTGTAATGCCATTCTTTAAATAGATTATGACTTTCTTGAAATTTATTTTTTGTTTATAATATATATACTTATATGATAAAATATGTATTGTTATCGCCATTATTCTAACTTTTAAACATAACTTATACTGTTGTTTGTTTATTAAAAAACTATCGTATACGTCGGTAAAAATCTTAAAATTGTCTTCATTGCTAGAAGATAATGTACAAAATCACACCTTTACCGTTCAAAAAATGTATTATTTGAATTTTTTTTTTTTTGTTTAATGATACGTAATTAATAATTAATCATCCAATAGAATAGCATAGTTTTATATGGTTAAAAAAAAATTTTATTTACTATAACACAAAGTATATAATTGAAACAATTATAACAATTTTAAATATAAATTATAAACACAATTATCATAATATGAAATGCCTTTAATTAAAAGTACAGAAAAATTAAATTTTTTAAATGATTATTTAATCATAAACACTGACGATTATTAATTTTGTAGTATTATTAATTTTTGTGCACATTTTAATTGTATTTATTCATAAAGTTACAATTTATACTGGCAAATTAAAATCACGAGATAAATCGTCTCATCATAGCAAAGTAAATAGC